GTAATGGAATAGTGGTCACTAGAGACCAGGAAGGGCAGGAGGCTGGGATTGGAAAGTAGTACCATACGGGGTACCAAAGTAGAGTGCAGGAATCATTTCTAGTTCTTTTGGGTATCTATAGATTAGGATAATCTTGTGGTTTATTTCATAATGACTAGAGAAGGAGAGTGCAAAATCCTTAGAACATGAAAATCAATTTGAAAAGACAGAAATGCTCACTAGCCTGATCGGATTAGTATACATTGTGTACATGTATTGTACTGCCATAATGTGCTCCATAAAGACGGACAAATAGATCTTAGAAAAATATGTAGTGAAAGCACTTTCAAGCTTCATAAAATACCATTTAATACTTAACTCCATCAATTTTTGCCATTAAAACAAGAGTGGGGCCTTGGAGGTGTTGGTGGAGTTCTTACCTAGAACACAGGGCTTTCCATTCAATCCATAGCACTGCAGAGGAGGGAAGGAAAGGGTGAGAGAAGTTCCTTAGAATTCATAACAAATGAAATTTGATCTGTGAACTTTACCATGGGCATGTGGTAGACATTTTGCAATCCTATCAATCACCAATTAATCCAAGCACATTTTCAGTTTTTAATTCTATTAAGGTGCAGGTTTCTGAGTTATTTCTTTCTAGGAAAAGAGGCATAAGGCTAAGTAGGTTTATGTGAATGAACTAGGTACCTCACACATGGGGCCACCTTGTCCTCCTCCTTTGATGTAACATTCTTTAGGATTCTTCAGTTTTATTTTTTCATTTTTGGGTTTGTCTGCTTTGGTATGCAGTCATGTTTTACAGGATGGCTTCTGGGAGAAGGTAGCCATCTCTTCTATAGCTACTGTTCTAAGACACGTTGGAAGTAAACTTTTGAAGCTGAAACAAACAGCTAAGATTATCATCAGAAATTATGTAGCTATTACTCCCCACTACATTCCATGATCTACAATGAACACATTTTTCTGTGGAGATAACCTCTACTTAGTTAGCATTCATCTTATTTTTCCTGGTCATTCTTCTACCAAAAAAGCAAATCTGGGCAAAGATTCAGACTCATGAACACAAGCTGTAATTGAAATACTTTTAAAGAAAGCAACAGACTTGGACACTCAGGTCAGCTGTAAGAAAAATGAACATGAATTCGGGGGGGGGATCTACTTTAAAAATACTCAATATCCAGCAAAGATATTAACTATACACTTGGGAAAAGTAACAACTCTTCATTCACCTTTACAATCCATGAGAATGAGTGGTGGCAGCCAAGTGTAATGATGTGCACCTGCAGCCCACCACCACTCAGGAGGCTGAGGCAGGACTGCTG